ATTTGTAGGGTCCCTTGGAACAGCGACTTGTGATTGGACTGTGTCCAATTGCCCCGTGTCCAACTGATATACATCCCACTCGCTCTACTCTCGTTAAGGTACTTTTACATGGGAGCATCGAGCGTCGAGCGTTAAAGCGGTAGCCAATCAACGTGTCACTTTCCGCAAGAACTACAACTATATTTCTAGAACCTGATACGTTGATTGGCTAACGCTTTAACGCTCGACGCTGGAACGCTCTCATGTATTGGCAGCTTTATCGTAAGTATCCTATGTTATTACTTTCTGCACTCAAAAGTGAAGTAAATATACAGTTGTCCATTGAAGAAAGAAAGAAGTGAGCTGAAAGAGAAGTGCAGTTGAAAGAGCCAATTGTCAGGTTACTGACTGGTCAGATGCTGACTGGCAATTGGAGCAAAGCTCGGGAGATCTTAGCCAAAATATTAAAGAAGAAAAAGGTTATGTTGTGACAAGCGTACCGTCAAGTTGCATCTCGTTTCAATTCTCGTTCATGAAGTATACGGGCTTAATGCGGCATGGGGAATATGTTCCAGAAAGTGTAAAGGGACTGCTTGACAAGAGGAAAACAGAATTATTGGAGTATCTGTGCGTAGCAAATAATAAATCGTAGAGGTTATGAGGTTACATCGGTCACGGTCGACCAATAGTTTCAAAAATTCATGACATGCAGTACACGTTCTCGACGAGAATGGAAAAACTGAATCCTAAGGAAACCATCAATTTGCTCGATCTTCTGTCAGAAAGCGACTCTGACAGCACCGATCTAATTCTAACACCTAAAAAGAAGAAAATCAAACGGTAATGTTTGTTAATAATTTGAACATGTATATGTGTAAAAAAAAATATGTATATATATATGATTTTTATTTGGGTAAATTTGTTTGTGTAGTTAATTTAAACAATCATTGGAGATTTTCTAATATTTTCTTTATTTTGATGCAGACAATTTTAACATTAATCTATACATTATCTTTGGATTACAGGCGACACAGGCCAAGGACTTTAATCAGAACGAGGCACAATAATCTCTGTGGATGCAACAAATCTGATATGCGAGTGATATCTTTATGGTTGGCAGCGGTATTAATCACATTCTGGTTAATTGCTCTGTCTTGGCTGGCAGCGATACTGTATGGGGAGATTAAGAAAATGGATATATCGATAAAGTCAGGTAAATGCCATTTTAATTTATGTAAGCAGAATAATATTGATGTTTAAGTGGTAAGTACAAGATATTAATTAGATTGTCAATATTGGAGTATGAAAGGTTCTAATTAAATCTATTTACATTTAAGATAAATGTATCACATTTCCTTTTACCTTTCAATGTGTTCCTTTTTCTCAAGCTTTATCCATTATTTCTATATATATGTACATTAATAATTATCTATATGCTATTATATATATATATATATATATATATATATATATATATATATATATATATAT